TATCCTCCTTGCCTCTTGCCTCTCCTTGCCTTCAACTAAGCTGTAAAAACCTTGATTCTGTCCTTTTGGGCGAGCTGGACCTCTTATAGGTTAAGTGGAATTACCCCCGAACTTTCAAGTTTACCCCTGAATTATATGTTCCGAACTAGACTAGCGCGGTCGCATTAGTGGGCGCGCTAATGACCGCACATATGGCATAGTATTTTGCCTCGAGTTCCTGGGCTAGCGCGGTCGAGCTAGTGGGCGCGCTAATGGCCGTGCTAAGCTGGTCATCATTTTAGCTCATCTTTTCTCTCTTCTTTCACATGTACTCAGCTCCAAGGGGTTTCCCTTGCTTCAATTTGGCTCCAAACACCATCCTAAGTCCTCATAAGCGCAACTCGCTCCTGCAAAACATGAAATTCATAATTAGAGCCAATTTATCGTCATTTAACTAACCTAGAACAGTGAAACATAGTCAAGCTGGGACATAAACAGTCGCCAAATTACATGAATCTAACCTATTATCAGAGAATTTTTAAAATCTCGACACCAAAATTTTAATCTATTTTAAAGTACTAGTAATATTAAATTATATTCTGAAAAGAGAGTAAAAAAAATTGCTTTTCCTATCGGTTAGTTCCCCATTCTTCTATATTTTTCTTTTAATATTTTGATGTGAAGATGTTTTTTTAAGAAAGTGAGATTTCTCATTTCCCCTTTGTCACGCATAATCACTGACCCCAGACATCCATTGAAGTGGAACTAGGGGCCATACTGGTTAGTTTTGCTGGGAGAATAACTGAACAAAATCAATAATAAGAGATATGTTGGATCTGTAGCCCCCTATTTGTTTGATCATTTCTTTTCTTTTATCTTCCTTTGTTTTAAAATTAAAAAATAAAAGTAGTAGTAGAATTTTCCGCCTTCAATATTTGATATTTTTATACAATATATTTTTTGTATATTTGTATCTGATTTATACATAATAAAAATAATTTCATACAACTAATTATATATTATACAACTTATCTATAATTTTTATATATTATTTCTACCTAGTTATATACAACTACAATATCATACAACTTAAATACAATTATTATACAAATTTTATACAATATGTCTTTGTAGACATTTTGTATCTGATTTGTATATATTTTGTATCTAATTTGTATATATTTTGTCTGTGGTGTGTGCTTCTTCCTCTCTAAAATTTCAATCAAAACTTACTCTCTTAATACAATTTTGATACATATCAATAACTTTATGTAAAATGATTGTATTGATAACTTAAATACAAATTTTATACAATGATTCACATATTATACAACTATTGTTCAACTTTCATACAACATTCAAATAAAAAAAATATATAACTACAACAGAATATAATTTACATACAATTATACTACCACTTTATAACAATTTCGTAAGTAAATTGTATATCATGTCTTCTTCTTCGACTTCGAGTTTCAATCTGAAATTCAGCCAAAATCAAGTCTAATCTTCACCAAACACCCTCAAAATTGAGATATAAACTCCAAACAATATTCTCAATTGTTTACAACAACACACAGTCCAAACAAATAATGATTTTTGAAAATTTAAATTCGAATTCAAAGCTTCAAAGCTTTTTAATGGTTGTCAATGGTGGAGAGTCAAACATCTTCAATATTTATTGATTGACAATTTCAATTTGAACACCAATTGTGCAACATTATTAAAATTTAAACACTAATTGTGCAACACTTTCAGCTCTATATTACTGGAATTTCAATAAGTGTGGAATTGATGCTCTTTTCCCTTTGATCTACATTACTAGAATGAGGGATTGAGAGACATAGAGAGATGTAGAGAGAGAGAGAGAGGAGGGAGAGAGAATTAGGATGGGAAATAATTAATTCCTTATTCAACTCCTAATATAAAAGAATACTCATTTAATTTCTAAAGTGTATATAATTGGTAAATTTTATATGCGTATGTAATTAAATTAAAACTTGAGTAAGGGGGGCAATAAAGTTTCAAATAGCGTATAGGAAGGTAAAATTTCCCTTAAACTACTAATCTGAAAACTGGCTAACCCATATTATTTTTACGTTTAAACCCAATTCAACCAAGCCCAAAAGGCTTATCAAGGCCCAGCGATCCATTTCATAACAACCCATGGACTCCCAGTCGGGTCAAGTTGCAAATGAAGGCCGCCTTTTCTTCTTCTGATGATGATGATACTGTAAGCCGGTGGAGCTGAGCAATTTCAAAATGAGAAAGCAAGTGCTAACCTTAACGGAAGCTGCGGCGTCGAGAATACGGCAGCTGTTAGAGCAGCGTCAGCGTTCTTTCCTCAAGCTTGGCGTCAAATCTCGCGGCTGTAACGGCTTATCTTATACCCTCAATTATGCAGGTTTTCCCCCTCTATCAAAATGGTTTACGATCTTCTTTTTAAGCTAATGTCATTTTTTTTCTTCCTGTTTGAGTTTTGAAGTGTATAATTTATCTGAAACCCGGATAAATGGAGGATATTTGCAATAGATAAATAGATTATATATTGCATCCAGCTTAAAAATAATTTAATTATAATGACCCATGATCAGTTTAAATATAAGAAATGTTTTTATACTGTTACTTATATTGGAAAAAATTGCTTACTGTAACCAATTTTCCTCACTGCTGCTCATTTGTATAATCTAAGACTTCTGCCCCAAACTTGCCTAACATTTTTGAACTGATGATTTTGGTTTTGGAAAATGAATTTTGATCCCCCCCCAAAAAAAGGTTTTGGAAAATGAATACAATATTTCAAACTCTTTTGCCATTCTCGGAGGCGTTCTTTTCCACTGTGCTAACTGTTAATTATCTGAATCTGCTGAATAAGAAACGTCTTGCATCGCTTTCCGTCATTATTTGAGCTGCATTATAATTGGTGTACTGATAGTTTGAAGTTTGTCACAACAACAACAAACCCTGCTGAATCCCATATGGGGTCTGGGGAGGGTAGTGTGTACGCAGCCTTACCCCTATCCTTTAAAGGCAGAGAGGCTGTTTCAAAGTTTGAATTTTGTCGCACTGAGTTAAATCAGTAGAATATATCACTCGTCAAATTTGTGCGAGCAGGCACAGAGAAAGTTTACTGAGTTCACACTTCACAACAGTAGTCTTCATTTATTTTGTGCTTGAAGTTTCAATATCATACTAGCAACATTTGCGTAGAGCTAGTTCTAGCGATTTGTGCAAGCATGTCCCTACAGATTATTCTGCCATTTTTGACCAATTGTAATTAATTTCCTTTAGATCTTGCCTATTATAAAGATTAATAATTGATGCACCATCTGTGAAATGTGTTAAAGAAAAAAAACCCATCTATGAAATTTCTTCTCTCATGTTTCTATTGATTTCTAAACTGACCTTGAATTGTACAGATGATAAAGGAAAATTTGATGAGTTGGTTGAGGACAAGGGCGTGAAGATACTGATTGATCCAAAGGCTCTTATGCACGTCCTAGGTACAGAGATGGATTTTGTTGATGATAAGCTCAGGTATGAGATGGTATTTCCATTTTATATCCTACTAGTATTGCCATATTATGTCTTCTATTCATGGCTACTACTGTTGCAAATTGCAATCATAACCTTTTTCTTATGATCGATCTTTTAAGCTTAATTATTCTTTGAGCTGTCAAGTCACAACATTAAGTATCACTATAAGACAATAAGCTAAGATTAAATCAAGTTTAATTTTCCACTTTTTCTTGTACCGTCTCACATCACGACATTAAGTATCTATATGAGCTAAGATAAAGCAAGTTAATTTTGTTAGTTTTCCAGTACAGTTGTGACATAACTGTGATGTTTAAAAGGCTGAAGTCAACTGCTGCCTTTTTTCTTTTCCCCTGCACAGACAACCCTCCTTTAGTTTTTCTTCAGAAGCTTTCCGATGCTTTATTTATTGAAGTTGACTTAAATATAATAGTAGTTTTTTTAATCCCTATGACTTTTGCAACTAGTCTTGTTGAATTCTTTAAACTAACCTATCATGTCCTTTTAGGGACTTTGCTTCAAGGAATAAGAAGGTGTAATGAAATAGCAATTACGTGATTTGATCTCTTTCGTTTGTGGTTTCTAGCTTTTGTTCAATCTTTTCTTTGCCATTTGAAGCCTCATTCTCTTAATACGGATATAATCTTTACATTCTCCTATCTATCTTAATATCAGTGATTCCCATGGAGGAAGATAAGAAAATATGCTTCAAATGATTAAGACTTCATGCTCTAACTTTTCAGTAAAAAAATTGATTGAGACTGCACACTGACTCATTTCTTTCCCTTTTTTCCCTGGTAAAGTAATGCTCTTGTTTCCCTCAAATAAACTTTGGTGCTAGGTTGCTCGGACACGGGTGCGGATCTAGAGGTCAGATCCTTCGAGATGTAAATTCTAAGATTTGGGGATACGGATCCTAGTACGGATACGGGTGTGGGGATCCGGCTAAAAATAATTCAAAAAAATAAAAATATAAAAATTATCTCTAAATTATGAGAAATTTTGTGGAATACTTATGTATAGTTTGTAAAGTGTGGATTTTTTTTTTCAAGTTGTAGATAAGTAAATAATTGATTTCTTAAGTAAGGTATGCTATTTTCTTCAAGTTTACCTTAGTTTTGGTTCTGATTTCGGGAATCAAATTGTATCTCGTTTCAAATTTTTCCTCCTGTTGTAGTCAAAATACTCAAAATTATTTGACCGAATCTGTTACGGATCACATACCCACACTCATACTAGTGTCGTGGCAACACGGGTGCGGCACCTAAACTGCCATGTCGGAGCAACTTAGCTTTGGTGATGGTTTGCCTAGTGGATGGACACATTTTGGCCTCCTTGTAACTATCCCATCTTGAAACCCCTAGCCTAACAACATATGCTTTCTCTCTTATTGCCATGGCAGATCAACCACCCTCAATCCGGTTGCTTCTTTTCCACGCAATTTAGAACTTTAGGAATATGAACTTTATATTTTAATTAGGAAAATTGAACATATAACAACCTTCTAATATTGTTCTGAGTTCTGACTGTGATGAACTGGCTAATCTGAAGGTCGACTTTGAAAAATGGTTAATCTTCGGTTGGCTGTTGTCCTGTTGTGATGGTCAGTTCATATCTTGGTCATATGATTCAGTTTCTAGTTTGTAAAAGATGGCATTTTGGCTAATGATGAAGGTGGTTTTTGAGGTGGATTAGGAATGAATTTCATGACTTTTACGTGGAGAGCATTCCGTCTTTTGCAGGTTTTCGTTCAATTATATCCCTACGTAACTTGTCATCTAAGGCTGCGGCCAAGATCCTATTTCTATTCTAAAGCAAAATCCCAAAAACAAACTCGGGATGAGCATCAAAAATCCATTTAGCTCTTGCTCGATTCATAGTATCTGTGTCCTTGTGAAACCGACAGGGGCGGATTTACGTAGAGACTTTGGGGTGGTACGGCACCTGGACACTCGGGTAAAATTCTATATATGTACTGGTATTTTACCGGAAAATATGATATAGGATCTGAGTGGCACCCAAAGGTAACAAAATGAATGTGGGTGCCATGGTTGAGTTGCCAAATTTTCACATGCAAAACCCAGGTTCGAATCTCACCTGGTTTCAAGCTAGTGCTTATTTCCCCTGTGGTCGTAGTTGCTCCTCTTTTTTAATTTTTTCTATTTCCTTCATTTTTGTAGTTGCTCCTCTTTTTTAATTTCTTCTATTTTCTTCATTTTTGTAGTTGCTCCTCTTTTTAATTCCTTCTATTTTCTTCATTTTTGTATTTCCACTCTCTTTGTACAACCTCATTATTATTATTATTATTATTATTTATGTAGAATTATATAATTGTTTCCTTTTTCTCATTCTAGATCTTCATATTTTATTTGAATGTGATTTTAATTATTTTTTAATCATCTAATGTTATATTTTTCTAGATCTGTATTTGCTAACTTAAATTTTATTTATGTTTTTTAATCATACTAAATAGAATTTGTATTTAGAGAATTAGATCGAATTGGGCAGTTTTTTTGGTGATCACATATTTATTTATGCACTAAAAATCTAGTAAACTGATTGAAATATTTCATAATGGATCGGATCAAACAGAACCGAAGTAATTCAGAATGGGTTGAACCGGCAGAATGTACACCCTAATTCAATCTCCTTCGCTAGTGGTAGGTTTGTAAAAAAATAATGGCACCCGTAATCATCAAATCCTGGATCCGCCTCTGGAAACCGATCCACTGTACTTAACTGCTTAAATTCTAGTGGCACTAAGTTGCAGCACCCATTTACATTCCAGTATTGTTGTTCACAAACCTGGTTAATCCTTATATGTGTCTCATAAACATCATTAAATCCTATAATCTCACATTATTGTTATTATAAGCAGATCTGAGTTTATATTTATCAATCCAAACGCAACTGGACAATGCGGTTGTGGAGAATCTTTCATGACAACAACTAGCTCAGAAGCTGCTAAGTTGCGTGGCAAATCAAACTGATAGCTTGTTTTAGTCAGTATGATGTACGTTATATATACACTTAGAAGTGTAAGTATATAATCTGGAGTGTCAAATCAATGAGTACGTTAATGGTCAGAAACAAAGGCTTTTGTTAATTTTTCCTCGACCTTTTTTAATCTTCTTTTCTTGTGTACATATTGTAACTCTGTTTCTTCACACCAATAATATGAGTTGATGCATGTATTACTTACTGCAGTAGCCGTTCTAAATAATCAAATTTCCTTTTTTCATTAGTTATTATTTGAGTATAAATTTGGTTGGTTGGACTCTCACTGCTTAGACTATAAATTTTGGTATTTGCATTAGAAACTAAATACCATAATGTGTATTCCTGTGTGCAGCAAGATATGCATAATTGAACAAGGGTAAAGCATGAGGCGAATATAAATGAAGAACACACTTATACCAAATCGTAGGGTGGATTTATAGGTATAAAGCAAATAACAGCATAAATTTTTAGATGAAATGATCACATGATTCAACGTGGTTTTTCGCCTTGAGATTTCTTCGACTCAAATTTTAAAATCACCTTTTGCATGGCTGCTTTGAAACTTTTCACCTTCTGCTTATCATCTGCTAAGTCATTCTTGTCAATACTGCTTCTTATGGTAAAAACACTTGACGGCGACTCGTCTTCTTCGCTTCCATTGAACTTGTAAAGCTTCACGTACTTCATTATGTTCTCCACAAAGTTGTAATGAATTCACAATACAGATGCACTTAATACAAAAGGCGCAATTGGAGCACTGGGGGTGAAGGCACACTATTGCTACACAATGGGTATTTATAGTGTGTGAAGATTCATAATTGAGCATAAAAGACAAAAGAAACAACAAGAGTTTCTGTTAAAGAAAATATTTTATATCAGAGAAAAGATCGAAGGATTTTGTTGGTAGTTATTGGTTGTACCTTTCGTAGCTAATCATAGATGGATCCAAACTAAGATGTCATTTTGCCGTGATGGGAAAAATGCAGGTTTGTTCAACTATATAAAAAGTCACGACAAATTGTTAGCTAACTAGCTAGTACTTCTACATTCTCGTGGCCTTTAATTGTTGGGCAAAAATACAAAAATAGTCGCTCGATCGAAATTAATTGTATTTGCTAGCCAAAAAGTATATTATATGCATATAATGCCACATACATATAAAAAAATATGCATTTTATCGGCCATTAATTTTAGAAGTGGTTAAAAATATACATTTCTATTTATTTTGTTTTGTTCTTGCTTTTGCTCATCCATTTTGGCCACCTAATTCTTGTGTCTAAGCCTGTCCAACCAGAGGCAATCAATTAGTTGTAGGTTATGTGAAATTGACCCTTACACATTCCAATCAAGAAAGTTTTGCTTTCAGAATTTCTTTTCTTATTTCCCGCACCATCGCCAGAGACGATCTTAGAATGTAGTATAAAGTTCAAAATATTCAAAAACGAATGTGATCTTTTATATATATATTATTTTTTTCAGAACTCGCCCACCGGCTCCACCACAACGTAATAATAAAGATTCAGATTATTACAATTCCTTTTTAGAAATCCAAATTTATCTAAGATCCGAAAACATATTCTCGAAAAGGATATATTATTCCATTTTGGAATTCAGTGATAATTCATTGAAAGATATGATCCCGTTCTTAAGAAATTCCCCAAAATAAATAAATAAATAAATAATATTGCCAAAATATTTGACACCATTTGTTGATAATACTGTTTTATACAACTTTTACTAGTTCGTAAAGTTCAATAACTAATTAAAGTTCAGTTATGTGTTATTCTTTTACAATTATATTTAGTTATTATTTTAGTATCTTGTTCCACCACTACCTCAATAATACACATTTCAAACTATTATTTTAAACTCCATACTTAATGTGACATCAAATGATGAAAGGAATATATATTCTAGAAAAGGATCAAATTTTCCCCTTACTATCTGAAATGGGGCAACTTTGCCTTCCATTAGACTTTGGTCTAATAAGTCTTGTCGTTGAGCTGACATCTGAGAGTAATTTTAAATTATAATTAAAAGTTTAAGAGCAAATTTAGACATTTTTTCTCGAATAATTTGGATATTGTGGATTCTACTAGTTGTAAAGGAAAATACCATAGAATTTGTTAACAGCAGAAATATGAATGAACCAAAACTTTAACTCAAAGTAAAATTGAGCAATTTTGGATGATAGAGAGAAATATTTAGGGAAATTACCAGTTATGTCAGCCCATAACTAAGTTAGTATGAAAATTAGTCAATTCTATTTATTGTTAATATTAGCCAATTAGCTATTTGTAGCAAGAAAAATCAAATTTTTGCTTTCTTTTGAGTGGGTGTTGTTGGAGTAGATATATCTTAAGAAATTTAAATTTCAGTTTTGGGATAACTTGGTAGAGTTTTGAACTGGTTTGAATTGAAAATTAGAAGTAGAAGATGTACATGAAAAAAGATGTTATCGATCATCTGTGTATCATATATATATCATATTTGTATCAAATATGTATCACATGTATACCTATGTGTGAGATACATGCGTGATACATGTGTCGTAGAAGAATTTTTTGAACTCGATTTTAACTACGAATTTTGATGCCAAATCAGTCCAAATCACCTCCAATATTCCTCAAATGTTGTATATTAACTCGCCTATCTGTTTTCAATGAATTTCAACAATACCCATTGAAAAAAGTCCCTTTTTGCTTAAATATTTGGAATCTTGTACAAATATTTCTGTTTGTATTTTATCACCTTGTTTTCTAGCTCATCCATGAAATTTTCTTTCCGTCTTGCATCTAATGTTGTTGTTCACGTTTAAAACTATGGAAGGAGATCTTTGCACGTGATTCTTGGATAGAAAGAATATTTATTTATTTGAATTTTTTATTTTTATATGTGTTTGACTAGTTTTGGTAAGTCTATGATTCATGGCTGAAGGTTGATAAGTTAGGATTTATTTGGTACATTTCCGTAAGATTCCCAAATATTTACACCATTAATGATACTCCACAAAATCTATAGGGATTTTTATCTAGCTATACTCCCTCCGGTCCACCATAAGTGACCAATTTACTTTTTTTATTTTAGTCCAAAATAAGTGTCCATTTATATAGTCAAGTGTAACGACCCGATTGGTCGTTTTGATTTTTAGGACCCCGTTCCCCTAAATAAGATTTTCCGCCCTTGCTTTAACTAATTTACGATCCGCGGGGATGGTTGGTTCGGGATTTGGAAGAGTTTGGGTTGAAATAGGCACAATTGATTCCCTAAGATTTTATTAAAAGACTAAGTTTGACTTTGGTTAACATTTCGAGTAAATGGACTCGGACTTGTGTTTTGACGGTCCCGGAGGGCCCGTAGGAAAATATGGGACCTTGATGTATGCCCGGAATCGAATTTCGAGTTCCCTAACCCGAGTAATGAATTTTCGTTAGAAATTGTTAAACTGAAATTATAAGAATTTAATGAAATTGAATAATGCTTGATCATGTTGGTATCAGGCTTGTATATTAGTTCCGGAGCCCGGTACAGGTCCAATATAACGTTTAAGACTTGCCCGCGAAATTTGGTGTCAATTCGAGTAGCATAAGTATGTTTGGGCGCGTTAGAAGTGAATTTAAGAACTTGAAGTCCATAAGTTTGATTCAATTGGTTTTAGGGGATGATTCTTAGAGTTAGTGTAGTTTCGGGCATTTCGAGGGTTCGAGCGAGTCCGTTTTATGATTTCAAACTTGTCGGTATGTTCGGTGGGGCCTGGGGGCCCCAAGCGTCAATCGGACGAGGCTCGAGTGAAGTTGGGAAAAAATGGCAAAGAACTGAAGCTCCAGCTATCTGTAATAACCGCACATGCAGTTGGTCAGTTGCAGGTGCGAGACCGCAGATGCGGTCGACACATCACAGAAGCGGCCAAGGGAAGGAGCCCAGGAACCGCAGATGCGGCTCCTTCTCCGCAGAAGCGGCTCCAATGCTGCAGAAGCAGTCCCAGCCCCCTGACCCAATTCTGCAGATGCGGACCCCCTCTCGTAGAAGTGAGACCGCATATGCGGTCCCCTAACCGCAGGTGCAGAAATCGCTGAAGGCGGTGCCTTCATTTAATACGGAAATGTGTCATTTTTTACACATTTCCACCATTGTTTGGGCGATTTGGGAGCTTCCAAAGAGAGATATTCTACCTAGTATCTTGAGGTAGGTTCATCCCACATATTTCTAATTTAATACTTGAGTCTTGGGTAGAT